GGGGGGGGGAGCTTTCCTAGCCCTGGGCATATTTAATAGTTCAGTACCCAGATGGATACCTGGCACAGTTTCTAGTCCCTTCAGACTCCAGGAGAGTGGAAGACCTCGGTAGGAGGGAGGCCAGAAGAGGGGAATCTGACCAAACTCTGTGACATTGGGCATTACTTAACCTCTCTGAGCCTCAGTCTCTTTGTCTATGAAACAGGGTTCACCGAACAACCTTCATTAAGCTGATATGAAAAGTACCGGAAAAGTACTGGGCTTGGGGCCTGGCCCAGAGGAAGCGAGGGGTATCTGCTTCTTAAAAAGATTCTCGATTTCCAGTTTCTTGTTGGGACAAGGAAGGTAAGGAGGGACTTGGCCAGAGGCTTACTAGAATTTACAGGCCAAGGTGGGATGAGAACCCATTTTCCCCCAAGACCTTGACCCCCCAAGGCCTTTCCATTGCACCCCTGTTCTGACCCTCCCCCATGTCTGGCAGATGCCCAGGAAGGGGCTGTGGAGGAACCAGTCTCCCCACCACCCCAGCATCACACGGTGTCCCGGCCCACTCCCACTGGGACCCACGGTGCACTTCCTGCTTGGCTGGATTAAACAGTTACAAGGTTTCCTGACATTAAGCTCTTTCCCAGATCCCACAGTCCCCGCCTCTGATATCTTTTCCAAGTTCCTAATCTTCATTTCCCAACGCCCGACTAGACACGGGGCTGTTTGGGAGGGCTCTGTGAGGGGGGCTAGTTGGGCTGGGGGTGGGGGGGATTTGCAAGAACAAGCTCTATGAATATGCAAAGCAGCTCCCAGCCTCTAAATAAAAGCAATCATTTAAATGCAAATTGCATCCTTGGCTGCGAGTTCCACAGTGGACCGTTCCTCTAGGGCTGTAATTCTAAGAAGAAAATGTGACTTAAGTCCCAACCCCAGAAGAAGCTCTGGGCAGGAAGTGCTATAAGGCCTCTCGGTTCTGGGGAGGATGGATAAGAACTGCTACAAAGTGAGGAGTGGGTCTCCACAGCTCAGGCACACCTTCAGGTGGCTCAAAGGGCTGGCCAGGGTCAAAGTGGTCCCCACAGACGGCACAGAGTCCCTAGAGGTGCCCTGTGCCTTGGGAGCTGTCATCTGTGGGTCTCCTTGTCTAGGTCAAGGGGGCTTTGAAAAGCTCAGATCCCGAGGCTCTGCGCTCAGAACCCTCCTCCGAGACTTCACTAGCCCAAACAGAATAAGCCCTAAACTCTTTTGCACCTCTGCAAAGATGGTGATCTGGCTGGTGCCCGCCATTCCCCCACCCCCACCCCAAATCTGCCTCCTTGCCCCAGCCACCGGGGCCTTTGTTGAGCTACTCCACTCCTCGCCTGGTTCAGTCTTGCCCCAAGATCTCCTTCCTGATGGTGGGCCCCCATTTTGCTGGGCTCCACTTAAATGTCACTTGCCAGAAGTCTTCTCATATACACCCTTGTCACTTTCTTTTACATCACTCTGTCTTGTTTTCTGGGCAGCCCGGTGGCGAGACTGTGTGGTATCTATTTGCCATTCCTGTTTTCTTAGTTTTTCTTGACCGACCCCTTCAGTCTCCCCCTCCCCCCCCCCCCGGCCCCCAATAAAAGCAAGAGCCAGTCCCTTTTACACCCTGTTCTGGGTCCAGAACATTTGTTGAAATTATATTAAAAAAAAAAATAACCAATATCGATTTCGAGCTTGTGTTTCTAAAAAAACTGTGCCTCTTGCTGCCTGGGCCCCAGACGGCGAGTCCTTCCTCCTCGCATCTCCTCCTCCTCCAACTCAACTGACCCCTTTTCACTAAGAGCAGAGAACGGTTTGGAAACAATGTTCACTCCACAGTTTGGATAGAAAACTGGGAGGGCTCCCAACCAGCAGATGCCGATTTGCATTCTATTTACATGCCATTTGCATGCAGTTTAACTGAAGTCTGGCTACTCCCGAAAGCCCCTAGTCCCCACCGAAGAAACTTCTGAAAAACGTTCCTTGGCTGAAGCGCCCGGGATTTTGTGCCAGGCCCCTCCCCCACCTCTCTTGTCGTTGCAGAGACCCCCCCCGGTGCTTCCTGGGCTCTGCTCAGGTGCCCCCCATCTTGGCGCAGTCGGACAGCCAATGTGGCGCGTGTGCTGGGGCCCCAGGCGGGGAGGATGCTGCCCGCCACACTCCAGGGGCCTTTGTCCGCGTTCCAAGGAGCCGCCCCCTTAGCGAACCCGGGACGAGGAAGAAGGAATCGGCGAGGCCTGGGTGTGACAGAGCAAGGGCTGGGGAAGGAGTCCGCTGCACTGAAGCGTCGCTGGGGCAAGGTCGCCGCGCCCCTCCAGGGCTGGTCAAGCCGTTCCCCGGGGCGAAGCCTGGTGAGGGCTCCGGCCGTGCTCTGGCCTATCCGCCCAGGCAGCAGGGACACCGGGATGTGTGGGGTCTCCATGGGGCTGGGAGTCCATGTCCCCGCACAAGTGGGGACACAGCACAGGGTTAGTCCTTATCTCTAGCTTGGTCGACCTCTCTCAGAGGCCAAGTGCCCCGCGTCTGAAACGGAAACTATCCCCCTCCATTGTATGCAGCCTCCCCCCATTTGTCCCCCAGCCTCAGATCTTGGCTCGGTCGCTTTCCCCTGCCTTCTCCCCGCCCCCGACCTTGCCCAGCAGTGTGCGGCCACCGCCGGCTACGAGATTGGCCCCCAGGCCCTACGGCAGGTGCCTCTGGCTGCTCGCCCCCCGAGTCTGGCCCTTGCTCTCTGGGCTCTGTCCTGTCCATAGTCATCCCCGGCCCGCCTGCCACGCGACCCCCGGGTCCTCTCCAAGGTTCTGCTCACACGAGTCACTCGGGCACGCCAGGACTGCCTTACGCTCCCAGCTGCCTTTACCTGAGGTCACCCCAGACCCTCCCCAGAGACTTGATCTCCAGTTGGAGGGGAGCAGGTCCCCCTCCCCGATAAAGGTCCCCAGCCCCTCCTCCCTTGCCCCGCCCTCTGCGGCTCCTCTTCCGCCGCACTGTGGTTCCCCTCACCCGAATCCTTCATCTCCCCCCACCCAACCCCCCGCAGATTAACCCCAGGAGGGGAGTTAGAGAAGCACACGACCAGGACCCCCGCAGTCTTCCCAAGCCTAAGGCGGGAAAAGTTTCTGGGGTCCCCGCAGCGCCCTCCATTGCGTCGGCGCGGGTCGCACTCACCGACCCCCGCGGCCCCGCAGCGCCGACTCTCCAGTTGGCCCTCCGCTGGAGTCACATCTCTGCAGCGCGGTGGCGGCCCCCGCTCCGCGCGCGCACGCCCGCCTGCCGATCCAGCCTCACTGCATTGCCCTGGCGAGCCGCTGCCGCGCGAGGCGCCCCCTGGCCCGGCCCGCGCTGCTGCAGCGACCGCGGCCCCGCCCCCGCCCCGGCCGGCTCCGCCCCTGGCCTCCAAGCCCCTCCCCTGGCCCCCGCGGGCTGTTGGGTGCGAGTCCTGGCGCTGTCAGCGAGCACCCAGGCGGGCAAGCTCTCCGTTCCTTGCCCAAAGCGCTGGGATGACCCCCAGCGTCCGGCGTCCCCAATGCGAAGACACTGCCCCACAGTCACAGTGCACCCATAAACGGTACGGACGCGCCACCCCCAAGTTGATCCAGTTGCAGAAACATCCCCCAACCCAGACACTCTCTCTCTCTCTCTCTCTCTCTCTCTCTCTCTCTCTCTCTC